TCGCAAGATGGTGGAAAAAAGACTTCTCTGCACAATCCAATAGTCTTCACTCCATTCCACGCAAATCCTTCTTCGGTTTCCGGTGAGACCAATCCCTGAATCACTTCCGTTCTTCTCTAGTCGTGAGTGCAACTGGAATGTAAGGTAGAGCCGACTAATCATTTTATCTAGGTGCTAGCTTAAAGTTTTGTCATTATTATCATTGTCCAAGTCCCAACCACGATCGTAATAGAAAGAATCATTAGGTAAATCCGGGACTAAGAATTCCAGAATTCCGCCGAAATAGGGAAGTATCCTCTTCTGAGGGGGGTTTGAACTAACGGTGTTCTACGACTCAAAGTCTTCACCAGCATGAATGATAATAATCTATCGCTAGAGCAGAACTTCAGATGTCTTAAAAGGTATTATTTTTCGATTGAATAGATTTCGAAGGTGACAGTGACTCTTGAATGAGAGCTGTATTCACCCCAGGTTGAATAGGGTGATTCCCGTTGGAGGTCGAAACCGCAAATTAATTTAGGTGAAGATACCTTTTGGGAGGTAAAGCCAAGTTAACTTCAATGAAATATAATTGTCGTTAAAACGGCCCATCAGTCTTTCATCCCCATTTTGTGAGAATATGTCTCTTACTCGAGATGTAACGTTAGTAACGAAACATACTGTTTCGGAATGACACCTCCGAAGGCCTCTGAAATTCAATTCTGAAGATAGGTCCTTAGCAGTCATGCTCGTGAGCTGCAGACCTCCGCCAGTTAAAGTCATCACTTGCGCATAATTTCATCACGACCCTTCGGTTCATCTAGTGTGCGAACCAATTTGAGCGAAAGGTCAGGACACTGCATACATTGCATGCTTCGGCTCTCGTATGACATTTCATTCGGACGAGATTCCTTTCATCATTCAGGAATCTATCTACAAGCACTTGAGGAATGAATTAATGTATCACGGAGCCGGAGTATATATATATATATATAGATAGATAGATAGATATATTTCATGAAGGTCTGTTCAACAAAGTTATCTTAGGAGATGCATCGATACTTAGTTACTCTTCGTATCTGTAACAATAACAAATCACAGTACTCGTCATTGCCCATTTTAAAATAGATGCTGCGCCTAAAATGCCTCCATATAGGAGAAGGGGGACAAAATATTTACTCTCCTAATTACCCACTCCCCTACTTGCCCACCTAAGCCTCCACTCACTCACGACTCTGACTCAAATGATTATGGACAGCTAATATATTCAGGTGATGCCATCATCTATCCTGACATAAGTTTTCCGGATTACCCGGAATATGAGGCAAACCTGTTTTTACGACAGCTCCGACCTGTTCAAGATAACAATCTGGCAGATGTATCTTTTGCCCGTTCCACTTTGTCGCCACGATTTATCACAGACTCACGTACAGATGTTTCCCACGACTGAGTCCTTGTGGACGATCAATTCGGTTGCCGGCCAATAGGGAAGACTCACGGCCAACAAGGTTCACTTGGAGCATAGTCGTGACGTGGTGAGAGATTGCATCTCGATGAGTTTCTATTTGATTAAGCCCTCAAAACTAATCGAAAAGGGGCGTCATTGTAGAGGACATCGACGAGCAGGCTTTTGCCCCCTGCAGATGCCTTGCTTGCGATAAACGAGGAGGATGGCTCTGTTGTTAAGAGCTTTTGAGCAGACCAGATGGAGCCCTGTATCACGTCTTTGCAAACACTGTCGAACTGGTAGACAAGCATCGCTGCCACTCCGGCTCCGTGATGTACCAGTTCATCCCTCAAGTGCTTGTAGACAGATTCCTGAATGACGAATGCAATTTCGTCCGAATTAAAGGTCATAAGAGAGCGCAAGCATGAAATGTACCTTCCGACACTAGTTCTATGCGGTGTTCAGTACCTCAAGTAGCGACTTGACAGAGGAGGTTGCCGAATGACGAGGGTCAACGGGGAGTTGGGAGGGCAAAGTTCACTGAAAGTTGGCCAGAGTCCTGCGACGACTACTGCTTCGAGGCGATCCTGATCTTTAGCCTAAACTGCTTCCCACACAAAATGGGATCTTACCTAGCTACCGAACAATTGTATAGCAAGACTTGAGGAGCACTTCTAGAAGAAGCAATGTTAGCCCCCAAAATGTTGGTTAGATGTATGGATATGGATATGCGAAGAAAAGTTGGGTTTTGAGGAATCTCTTCTTTCATAATTGTTGAGCCTACTTCCATTTGAGTGAAAGTGTTTGGTGAAGAGATTCGAAGGTCAATTCCGCCAGAAGACGAAGACGGATTCCTCTTGGCCAGCTGTCGATTGGCTTTACTGGAACATTCATTCTGACGCTGTTTTCGAGGTAATCCTCTTCGATTGGGGTGAAAAGGTGCTAAGCTATCGTCCGTCATTTGACGAACATCATCAGAGCGAGGTATCATCGTCAAGACCAAATTCAAGCTAACGAGTCAAAAAAACTCACCGGCAAACCGCTAGAAAGCTGTATACATACTCTGTATCTGGCCTCTTTTGATGCGGTTAGTTACGGTAGTGTGTCAACCTCGAAGCCTGAGTGCGTCTGTCTCTGTATGTGTGTTCGCTTATGCACGAACCAAGCAGTGATGGCTCAAATTAATTATGACACTGCCGTCGTCTTCTGGTGCGATCGACCTTCGAATCTCTTCACCAAACTCTTTCACTCGAAATGGAAGTAAGCTCAACAGATATATAGATGGCTATTTTGTCTTCTGGCTTTATAATAAGGAAAGTCTAGATAGTTTCATACTTCCGCTAAACCAGCGTAAAGGAAACATTGTATTTACAATGGAAATGGAAGAGAAAAAGTAGTTCCTTATTGTTTTGGGATGTGATTATTAGAGATGGCAAGTTATGAGCAATGTTTATAGAAAAAAGACATGTTTCCTCTTTTATTAACTTTCTTTCCAACCATAGTTACAAGACTAAGGTTAGAATTTTTAAGTCACTGATTATTTGGAGCATGCGTATAGCGTATAGCAACCATTTGACTAGAGTTGGAAAGACTGACAAATGTAATCCTGGAAAATAATTATATTTAGGATCTAATTGATTATAATATCTTTGTACAGCTCTTCTGGTGAGATTTACTTACGAATCTCTTCATCATGTATTTTCATACGAACCGAAAGTGGGGAGCAACGATCATATGAGTCCACGAGTCATCACAAGAATTCGTTAAACCCACCAGTTATGTTGGTCAATAGGTATTTCGGATCAATAGAGGACCACATTTCCTTTTAGATGTGATAAAAACATAATCCTTTAAAACCCTCCCCAGAAAAACACACGGTCACCACCACCATTACAAATAGGCAGAGCATATTGAGATCTGGGATGAAAGCTTTGATGGCAGGATTCCAGACTAGAGTCATTGAAAAAATAGAAGCAACGGTTATCGCGGTTAGGCCAAACGCTTACTTATTTTGAAGGTTTTCTTATAAGAATAGCTTAAAAATTCCTTTTCTGGATTTCATAGATAAAATGGAAATAAAGTGTAATCTGAATGCTCAAGTATTCACTATTCTACTTATAGTAGTATAAGAATTAAATAATAAACTAAAGTTGTCAAGATCATCTAAAGCTGAGGATGATTGGCTGCAAAACCTAGCAGAGCATCCCGATGAGAAATTGAGCCGCATTTAGAAGCATTTATTGTCACGGGCGCATCGTCTAGGTGTAGATTTTAGCGGTCCTGAATTAAACTCTCCAAATTCGTGCCAAATAGTGTGCGAAAAGAGTAGATTAAAGGAGTGAGCTCAAACATATAAGTTTAGAATTCTGACAAAGTCGATCTTGAGACTATCAATATATTATGGATGAGCTGTAGTACCTCGAGTAGAAAGGACTGAAAGATGGATTTTCTAAAAATGAAATGAATATGCCTCGCGATGCTATTGAATTCCACCTACTCTTGTGGCCTAAATGGCTGTTATTCGGGACAGTCCTGTAACCTTGTGAGCAAGTGAGGTGGTGTTAAAATCATGTCTGCCCTATGAACAAATTATAACTCGCGACGGTACGGCGTAACTGTAACGCATAGAAAGTCTGAATTCACGACCCGGGTTCGATTACCGTTGGGGGTGCTGTCGAGACCGATGGCGAGTCCGAAGCTGCAACAAATGCTGGGCGAAAATGCGCTGTGGAAGATAGAGTCGAGATAAATTAACTGCCGTTTTGAAGTCTACTCAAGCTATTGTAAAAAGCTCCTCAATCAACACCTCGAAATTTAAGTTACCTAGGCTCACGACAGCTTTTATGGAGCTTTGGTATTCAGCCTTTCGTAAGTGCCTACAATGAGTTTGATTTGATTTCGCAACTGAACCATGTTTCCGAGGAGACTCAGAAGACCGTCCGACCATCTGGTCCTGTGCTCTTTCTACGTCGGACCGTAGACTGGATACCTTCTCGGACATTTTGCTAGTATCCTCAGCGCGAGACTACCACGCGTAAGCGACGACGGACTCTACTAGTTGCCACAGAGTTGACGAAGGATAACTAGAATGGCGATCCTGAGGATGATGAACGAGCCCGAATCGCCTCGGTAAGTATCTGCTGAAGCTTGGCTCCTCTTTCTGGTCAAGGATTCCTGCTTTTGATGCATGAAAGGAAAGCAAGAGCCCCGAAAAAACACATTTTCCGCCTTATTTGCAGGGACAGTACTAAAAACAGCCATAGCAACATAGAAAAACCAAAAAAGGAACATCATGCAATTTGAGAGAAGCTGCTCACCCTAGTGCTGCTAGGGTGACTCAATGCATGTGTAACTTGATGCTGCGGGAGTCAGCTAGTCTGAGTCTGTGGCGCCTGCAGACACAGCGCAATAGGCGAGCAAGAAGTCTGGTATGCTGCTGAGTGTACACACTCCACTCCCTCACTTCGTGAATGCAATGCCCGACGTGTGAGGAAGCAACGAAAACGAGCTTGGGTCAAGAGAATGTAACCCTACTTTCTGTGCCGCAGCCTTCAGACAGCGAAAACATAGCGACCGAGCTACAAGTACTTGCAGGACAGCTGC